GCATGCAGCAGGTGAGGATGTTCTTTTAGAAATTCAATGTAGGTGCCCTGGGAGCAAATGTAAAAAGATGCAAAATGACTCTGCCTTGGATCTCAAAACTGATGGAGCCCAAGTGGTAAAACATTCTATGCAGTAAGTCTGTGTTGTGACTGTATTTTTAAACATACATTTGAAAAACTTCATAATTTAAAATGACAGCAAGAAGATCAAGGAATTAGAAATGCCACCATGGAATGAGAGCACAAAACAGAGCTCAAGTCCTAAAAATTATAGAGATTATCTCAGTTCAGGGCTGCATGGCAGCTATTACCAGCACCAGGGCTCTTTATACATTTTGTTCATATTTTTCTCCCTCCCACCTCCCCTGTGTGGGTGTGCATGTGCCATGGTGTGTGTGTGTGTGTGTGTGTGTGTGTGTGTGTCACATGTGGGGTCCAGGGATGGAATTCAGGTTGTCAGGCTTGATGGCAAGTGCCTTTACCCACTGAGCCATCTTGCCAGTTCCCAGTGCCAGGCCTCTTGAAAACTGGTGTTGAATCCCAGCACTCCAGAGGCAGACTACATAGCAAGTTTCTAGGCCAGCTGGGGCTACAGAGAAGAGAGAGACCCTGTCTCAAAAAAAAAAAAAAAGATGTTTAATAAAACTGTGTCAAAAGCAAGCTATTGTGGCCAATCCTAAGGCAAAGGAATTCATGCATAAAAAGAGGAAGACTTTGAATAAACAATATATTTTAAAACAGTAAATTAAGGAAGAACACATAGAAAAGCCAGATTAAAAAATAAAAGTTTAATTTTTTAAATTTATTTTCATTTTATTAGTGTTTTGCCTGCATGTATGTAAGTGCACCACATATGTGCAATGCCCACAGAGTTCAGAAGAGGGCTTTGGATCCCTCGGTACTGGAGTTACAGATGGTTGTTAGCTACCATGTGTATGGGGCGCGCGGTCCCGCAGGGATCGGTCCCCTGCGCGCGCCCTGGAAGGCAGCCAGTTCCATGGGGATTCTCAGTCATGCGTCGCTGTCCGCCACTTGAGGTGCTGAAGGTCTCGCAGCACCGCGGCTCCGCGTCTCTGTTGTGGCAGCGGGTCTCAGCTTCTCCGCTGCTTCTCTGCGTCTTCCGTGGCTCTCTGCTGCTGGAGCTTTGTCCAGCCGGGTCCCGCCCTTATTTCACCCGTGTACTTTCCTCAATATGCGAGTTCCACCGGCCGCTGGACCACGCAGGAAAGTACGGGGCGGCTGAAGCTAGGGCTCCGTGAGTCAATGATGGAGGAATGCTGTCCCCCGGGGAGACTAGATTGCAGGCAGGAGCCACAGACTCAGTCCAGTCAGATTCAGTGGTACAGCTCTTTATTCAGTGTCCCAGCTCTAGTCCCTGCTCTAGCTCCAGCTCCGCTTCCAGCTCCAAATTATTGAGAGAAGACTAGGATATTTTATACTGTAGGGGCAGTGGTAAAAGCTTTAGCTGATAGGTATTTTGGGGATGCCTCATTTGCGTGTGGAAATGGGCTCCTGCCAGGCTGCCAAACTGCTTGAAAATCACACAGGAAAGCATGGCATTTCCAGAGCCAGAGGCCATGTTTATGTGGCTGCTACTTCACAAAGGAGTCAGGAAAAATGCCGGGAAGACACCCTGTTGTGAAAGGAGTCTCTGCATATGGCTCCGAGCTCGTGAGCTATCCGGACATGAAGAAACTTCTACTTTACACAACAAAGGCCCCCAACACATGTGGGTGCTGGGAACTGAACCCCAGTCCTCTGGAAGAGTAGCCAGTGCTCTTAACCACTAAGCCATCTCTCCAACACCCCCAAATAAAAGTTTCTGTGTCCCTCCTCTCTCAATCCATCTCATCTCCACTGCTGGCCTGGTAAGCCCCAAGCCCCTCGTAGGGACTAGGCCCAGAACCTCCACTTGTGCGGGGCCATTTCCATGACTCCTCAGACTACTTGCCACCTTTTTGTGTCACTTCGGTTCCTATAGCTACATCTACAGTGCAGGTTCTCAGCCCTGAAGGTCACTAGCACCCTCTGGGGGACCCATGAAAACTTGGTTTGTTGGTTTGGGGGATATGGGGTGGGTCCTAAGAATTTATGTTTAAATAAGTGCTGCCACTGGCCAGGGACCACACGCCAATCATTCTGTTCATCACTGACTCCATGATGGATCTCCCACTGGACAGTGAACAACATTTCTTACACAGTTTACCCCTAAGGTCCAGATGGTCTAGCAGTCACTCAGTGAATAAAAAATTTACTGCATGCCTGTGATGTGTGAGGCACTGTTCTAGACTCCAGGACCAGACAGCTAAATGAATATTTTTATCCTGCACATAAAATCTCAATGTCTTGATAGAGCTGATCTTCTGGTGCCTCATAGTGAATGCTCAATAACAGCTACTGAAATCTGATCAGCTATACTGAAAAAAAAAGGAATTAAAATTAAACATAGTACTCATGTTTGAAACTTTCAAAAATATAAAAATGGAAATTATAAAAAATAAAGTTAAGAAAATTAAAAGACCATTTTAGTAGTGCTATGGATTTATCAAATTTTAATTTTTAATCAGTTTCTACTGTATGTTTCTCTCTCCTGACACCTAACAGATCCATAAATCTGGCAGTATATAACAGACTTTGGAGGCTTACAAAATACTTGCTGGCTGATTTAGAAACTATTTTGCATAGATGCAATATTTTTTTAATATATTATTTATTTTTATTTTATGTGTATGAGTATATTGCCTGCATGTATGTGAATGCACCCATGTTGTGCAATGCTGTGGAGGTCAGAAGAGAGCTTCGGAGTCTCCTGGAACTGGAGTTAAGGACAGTTCATAGCCACCATGTGGGTGCTGGGAATCAAACCCAGGTCCTCTGCAAAAGCAGTCAGTGCTCTTAACTGCTGAGCCATATCTCCAGCCTGCCTAGATGCAATATTAACAATAGCTCCAAGAACTTAAACATGCATGCTTGTAGTCATAAAGCAACTTGGTGGTGAGCAACCTTAGCATTTTATACTGATAATAATAAAAAAAAAGAGCTTAACTAGTGGTTTCAAATAAGAATTAGTTACCTGTGAAAGTGCTCACTCCCCTCCCTATTCCACACCCTATAACCAAGTAAAATGTTTGTGGCTATTCTCAACCATGTGGTGAGAGACTTAGACTCCCAATGGGCCTGTGCAGGCTGCTGTGTAGACCAGGGCATCCAACTGACATTTGGTTTGTCCTCTGTATCTCTGAAAATCTGGTGGGAGGACCCATGACACCCTGTGATGCTTGTGAGGCTGTGAAGAGCAAGGGGCAGAAGGCACGCCTGACTCCTTCACACAGCCATAAGACATCACTTCTGGGCCTGTGGGCCAGTCTCCCCAGCTGTAGAAAGTACAAAACATGTACCTTCATCTTTGAACTAATTTTCTGAAAGTTTATCAGCAAATAAAAATGAAAGAAATCACAAAGAACAATTTGGGATGGATCTCTTTATCTTCAAGACTGAGTATTTTTAAGGTTTGCAAATGTTCTTAAGGCCTTTTCTAAGGTCAAAGCTATGAGACACGTCTGTTAATTATATGGACAGGAAAGTTATGTAGGAGGTAGTATAGATTAGTAGAACTCTAATAGTCTCAATATTCTACACCCAAATGCTTCCCTGTTCATATCAATGATCAGTTTGTGTGTGTGTGTGTGTTTGTGTGTGTGCAGGTGTATGTGTGTGTGCACACACACACGGAGACTACCTTGCCTTTCATTCCTAAGGCTCTGTCCACCTTTTTAGAGAGAATCTCTCCTTGGCCTGGAACTCATAAAGTAGGCAAGGCTGGCAGGCCAGTAAGCCCAAGGTATGGACCTGTCTCTGCCACTCAAGTGCTAGAATTATAAGCTTGAGTTGCCATGCCTGGCTTTTTTTTTTTTTTTAACTTGGGGTCTGGGGGTACTGAAACTCAGGTCCTTATGTTTTTGAAGCACTTTATTGTCTGAGGTACCTCCCTAGCCCCACATCATGATCAAACTGGAGGCTCACTGTTAGTGATCTCAAGAGTTACTGATGTAAAACAGCAGCACTGCTTTAGAACATTCTCTTTCTGTTCCTACCCAAATCAGTGATGTAATGTGCAATGTAACTACATTGTGGTCCAACCAGTCATGGTGAATCTACACAACAAAAAGTTTACCAAAGGGGGCTGGAGAGATGTTAGTAGTTGAGAGCACTGGCTGTTCTTGCAGAAGACCTGGGTTCCATTCCTAGCACCCAAGTGGTAGCTAACAACTGTCTGTAACTCCAGTTCCAGGGGACCTGATACCCTCTTCTGGCCTCCACGGGCATTGCACACATGTGGTGCACTTACATAGATACAGGCAAAACACTCATACACAAAAAATAAATAAATTTTTAAAAATTACCAGAAACTGGGCAGGGTAGTGCACACCTACAATTCTAGCACACTGGAGAGAAAGAGGCACGAAGATCATTCATGAGTTCAAGACCAGTATGGACTGTGTAATGAGTTTGAAGTAAGCCCCGTAACAACAACAAATTTAGGCAAGATTAATATTTTATTTATTTTGTGGTGCTAGGGATGAAACTCGGAGCCTTGAACATGTTAGATAAGCACTCTACCATCAATCCAAATCCAAGGCCATTTAAAAATGGAGACCAAGTACACCAACTCTTTTTTTGGGGGGGGTGCTCTTTTATTTTAGACAGGATCTCCCTGTAGCCCCAGCTGTTCTGGAACTCACTATGTAGATCAGGCTGGCCTTGAACTCACAGAGATCTGCCTGCCTCTGCTTCCCAAGTGCTGGGACTAAAGGCATGCATCACCACACCTGGCTTGTACACCAACTCTTTTAGGTATAAATAGCTATACGTGGATTGTTTTGTCTTTTCTTCTTTTTCCTTCCCTTCCTCCCTCCCTCCCTCCCTCCCTTCCTTTTTTTCGAAACAGGGTCTCCCTGTAGCCCTAGCTGACCTGGAACCACCTATATAGACCAGGCTAGCCTCCATCTCACAGAGATTCACCTGCCTCTGTCTCTGAAGTGTTGGGATCTAAAGTACATGCCACCATGCCCGGCTTATACATGGATTCTTAAAAGATGACAGGGTTTTCATTTCTTTCCCTGGAGCAGTTTACTAATTGTCATCTTTATAGCCCAAAGGAATTACTATTTCTCAAAAGAAGTTCCGCTCCTGTGAATAAGCCCCTTTGACACCGGCTGCATAAAGTCCAGGTAAACAGAAAGCAGGCCTGTTGGTGTTACACTAGTCCCAAAATATTGCTACCTCATTTAGTCTAATAAAGGAACACTGTATTCTGGGGAATACATAGATCTAAAATAAAAATATTCTCATTAACATCATTCATAGGCTAATAGTGAATTATCCCCCTTAGAAACTTTTCAATTATTCACAAAGCCCATCCTTATTGTTTGAGTTAACAGGCCGACTTTTAGAAGTACCGTGAGGAACTACTGAGGCATTACTGTGGCGTAGCCTGGCCTTCGGAGCTGTTTTCCAGACACAGCCTCTTGCTGCACAGCTGCTCCTCCTTCGCGGACCTGCGTCTCAACACACCGTCTAGCATGCAAGAATAACTTCATGTCAGGAAATGCACACCAGACCCATGGGGACTTGTTTCAGCCATTCAGACTAGAAGAGCAAAGCCATGCTCACGGCAAAGGAACACAGGGGTTCATTTACTTTCAACCTCTCACCATTCCAGCATCCCCCATTCTAATATTTCTTCAATCTATACTGGTTCTAGACAACTCAGAGATAATACAGTGTTTGATGACCCTTTAAAAACTGTATTCACTCAGCAATGATGGAAAATAATTCACATTTTTTGGGGGGGATGGGCAGGGGTCATTATTAGTCTGGAAGAAACAAAATCCACGTGTTTATCCACCTGAGAGGGGAGGGAACTGCCTGTGAGAGGGGAAAATGGGGGCTCACAGTCATAGTTCTCCATGATAGGAAGTCAGCCTTATTGGAATGTGCAGGCTGGGAGAAGAGACTGGCTTCAAACTCTTCCTGACTTTTGTTTTTAATGGCTTTACTGGAACCATAAGCCACATGTATTTAAAGTATACAATAAAGTAAGCCTATTAAAAGCATACAACTTGATGTGTTTGACATAAGCACACATCTGTGAACCCACCAATAAGGTCAGTGAACATATCTACCTGCCTACAAGATACCTCCTGCCCTCTGCCACCAGCTCTTGGCTGATTTGCTACAACGCCTTCCAGAGGGGAGCTCAAAGCCACCCTCCCCTTGCTTTTTGAAAAAAATATTTTATCATTTTTATTTATGTGTATGAGTGTATTGCCTGCATGTATGTAAGTGCACCTGTGCTGTGCAATGCTTATGGAGGTCAGAAGAGGTCATTGGATCCCCTGGAACTGGAGTTATGGATGGTTGTTAGCCACTGTGTGGGTGCTAGGAACTGATCTGGGTCCTCTGGAAGAGTAGTCAGTGCTCTTAACCGCTAGGCCATCTCTCCAGTCCCCCCCCCTTGCCTTTTTGTGTAGTACTTAAACATTAAAAATATATTTGTAATTTAGCCTAATAATAAAACAAATATTTAAGAATCTACTGCCCTCAACTGTTGTTTTGCTTAAATCTGCAAACTTTGTAAGGAGACAAGAAACAGGAGAAACTACTGTCCACAACTAATCATTCATTTGATATACTTCCCACCCCCTTTAGTCCACTCAGAAGTGATTTTATGTTTATTATTTCCATTGCTTCTTAAAATTTTATCACATGTGAAACAATAGCCTATTTGGCTTTTTTTTTAAACATGACAGTCTTCTGTCACTTGCTGTCTGTCTTCAACACTATATTTCTAAGACTCATCCATGGTGACGAATGCAGTCACGGTTCAGTATTTGCACTGCTGTGTAGTTGTCCCCACTGTAGGAACACACTGCATATTTTAATACACTCTCAAGAGAAACTTTTGTGTCACTTCTAGCTTTTGCTCTGAAAAATGGCATTGCAGTGAGCCATCTATTGCTTATAAATGATACAAGTTTCTCTAGGGCTCTCATGTAGAAGCTGATTTGCAGAACCATGGAGTATATGCATGTTCAGTTTTACAAAAATAATTCCTAATTACTAGACAATGTGATTTAAAGTTTCAGCCAGTCACATAGAGAAACTTTAGATATCCACCTCCTTACTTGGCACTAGCAAACTTCAGCTGTGCCAATACAGTCAGTATTCTTAGACTAGACCTCTGATTGTCTGCTCACATGTTACCAGACATTGTATTCTGCTGCTGTGAGAAACCAGTAACCAAGTGAATTCCATTCCCCATTAGGTGTTTTCAATCTGTAAGCTTCTTGACACTGTTGTGCATGTGTGTGGCTGGTATTTTCATTTTCTTTTTAAAAAAATCTCATTTATTATTTTTATTTTATATGTATGAGTGTATTGCCTGCATGTGTGTACATGTACCCATGCAATGACCACAAAGAACAGAAGAGGGCATTGGATCCCCTGGAACTGGAGTGATGGACAGTTGTTTGCCGCCATTTGGGTGCTGGGAATTGAATCCAGGTCCTCTGCAAAAGCAGTCAGTGCTCTTAACCTCTAAGCCTTCTTTCCAGCTCCTCTTTTCATTTTCTTAATAACATCTCTTGGTGAAGTCCTTACTAGGAATGTATTGTCTCATTTTTATAATCAGCATCATCTGTGTCCTGAACATGTTATTAATTGTATTCTAGGTCACAAAAATATTTGGTATTTTCTTCTAAAACTTTTTAAAAATTACCCTTTCCTTTAATCTTTAATTCATATGGAATTAAGCTTCGAGCATTATGTAAGAATTCATCATCATTTTTTCTATGTGGACAACCCACTTTCTAGCAGTATACATTAGGTAATCTGTTGTTGCCCTGTGATATATATGGCCCTCTTTGATAAGAATATTAGGTGTCCTGTAACATATGGGACAATGTCTCACATTAACAAATGTGCCTGTTAAAAAAAACAGTGACTTGCCTTACCTACTCACTTATTATTTTAGCAACATTTTTTTTTCATTTCTCCAAATTTCATTTTCAAAATTGATCATTTTTTCATAATAGCTTGTTTTCTGCCTTCTTGGTTTTGGAGACCAGATCTCGCTGTCTTGCTATTTAGCCCACACTGACCCTGAACAAAGAATTCTTCTGCCTCAATTTCCCTGGTGCTGAGATTAGAGGCACATACTACCACACTTGGTTTCATATTTCTTTTTATTTTCTTTTGTTGGGGGGTGGGGCTGGGTCTCACTATGTAGCCCTGGATGGCCTGGAACTTGTTATGTAGATGAGGGTGGCCTTGAACTCACAGAGATCTGCCTGCCTCTGTCTCCCAAGTGCCACCACACCTGGCTGGTTTCATTTTTCAATGAGATCTTTAACATCCATGTTTTATACTGTCTACTTGACAGCTCCAGCAAAGAAAATCCCTGGGGTCTAACTGTGCTTCTTGCTTTTTTCTGTTTGCTCCCATTCACAGCTATCTACTTCCATGCATGTCTGTTCACTTTTCAGTTACATCTCATACGTTACGCACTGTGGGTTTAAGCTGATATTGCTTCCCTTTTCAGAAAGACTGCATTTGCTTATTAGGAGTCAGGAGGGGCACCTGACTAGGAGCTAGTAGCTTCCTCCCAGAGCCCATAGTCCAATATCTGTATCAGGCTGGATTTACTCACCATCAGCAGACCCCATGCTTACTTTCAAAGTCTGAGCTTCCAAGGGCATTGCCCCTGGGTTAGCTCCGACTTTTGTGTTTGCTTACTATTGCTACTCAGATTCTAGAGAGCTCCTCCTTTGATCTCTCTCTCTTTTTTTTTTTTTTTGGTCTTTTTGAGACAGGGTCTCCCTGTAGTTCCAGCTGTCCTGGAACTCACTATGTAGACCAGGATGGCCTTGAACTCACAGAGATCCACCTGCCTCTGCCTCCTGAGTGCTGGGATTAAAGGCCTGTGCTACCAGGACCAGCTTTATTTCTATTTTTTAAAGAGAAATACAGGTCCCTACACATTTCACTTATTTCTTTGCAAGTTTGGTGTCTTTTTGAAAAGAACGCTTGTTATGGGTCATTTGAGCTCTGTTTCTAGGGCATGAAAGGATACTTGGGAGCAGTCAATCACACTGCTCCCTCTCCTCTGTGTATGTTCTTGCCACTGTCGTTGAGAGGGCATAAAGCAGCATGTCCCTGTCCCCACAAAAGATTGATATGGCCAGAAGTCAAGTCTTGGAGGTACTCAGTAAGCAACAGAGCTTCAGGTTCAGCTTTCATCTCTTTGATTCTTCTGTCTGTTTCTCAAAAGAGTCAAAAATTGGAAAGGAGCTCTGACCATCAGGCCTCTCTCTAGGGTAAGTCAATCGCCTAGATTCCCCCAACCTCATTCACCACCCTGCACCCATCTCTCCTCCTAGCCTGGGTCCTGTCCCATTCCTTGTCTTGGCACCCCAGACACCTGGGGAACCACCACTGCTTCCTGATCCTTTGCATCCAGACCAACCCAGTTCCTTCTCGAGGTCCCCAGGAGCCCTCAGGGCCTGGCCCCCCTCTCACCTCCCTCTGCTTTCCTGGGCCTGTACGACCTGCCAGCCTCTTTCCTGGACACCAGGGCTGACCTTTCCTCTTCCTGATCCTTTGCATCCAGACCAACCCAGCTCCTCAGTGCAGTCCCCAGAAGCCCTTAGGGCTGCATCACTCCCCCATCTTCCTTTGCATCTCTGGGTGGCACGGCCACCACCTGCCCTAGACCACCATCTTTCCTGGGCCGGCTCTAGGGCAGTCCAACCCCCAAATTCCTGAGGCCAAAATGTTTCCTGGAGGGATGCAGACCTTAGGAGAAAGCCTGAGAGCATCTGATCCTCATCTGACTTGGGCCTCTGTGGGAACTCCTGAAGACAAAAGCAATCTGGACACTCCAATATAAAATCAAAAGACAGAACCAGAAGCTTAGAGGAACCAGCTTTTCATGC